TTTTTTTTTTTTAAATGTGGTCCGATGGACCACGGATCAGAGCAGATACTACACTTGTACTCTCACGGGAATAAAAAGAAAATAAAAAAAAGGAACAAGAAAAGTTGAGGCCCTGAAACTCACAAAACAAGGAAAAGAAAACAAAGGAGAGACTTAAGTCGTGATTGCAGTTGTGTACATTCTTGGAAGTGGTGGTGTGAGTGTGCCCTCAGTGAGGGCATCTCAGCTCCGTGACCAGATTGTCAGATTCCAGAAATGAAAAACAAAAAAAAAATGGAAACACGGATTCTGCCGGAAAATGGCTGGATACATTCTTCTAAGGCGCCATTGTGATCACCGCTACAATCCTCTGAGGAAACACAGCTTAAGCAAATCGCAGATTCGGCTGTCAGATTCCAGAAAGAGAGTGAGGGGAAAAAAAAAATGGGAACACGGATTCGTCCCTGAAAATGGCTGGATACATTTCTGTAAGTGCCAGTGTGATGAGGCTTACAATCCTCTGAGGAAACAGACAAAGGGCCTCGCCTCAATACCGTGGTTTCCCGTCTTCGACTGTCACACAGACTAGTATACTAAACTATTAGATGGCATGTGGGGCGAGGGCCCCGCTCTCTCTGGACAGTTTCCCCTTCTTGAGGGCCTAGCCACACCACTCTTGAAACGGGGAAATTTTTCAAGAGCTGTCAGACGTTCTCAAGAGTTGGGTTTTCAAGAGTTTTCAGCCCCTCGCCACATAGCACTCTCGAAAGGGCGATGGTGTAGTCGTGCATGTTTGTTTTTTTCAAATGGCGTCAGGATAACGGCTTGACAACTCTTGAAAATCGATAGTCCCTCCAGGGCTCAGCCAAGGACACTTGAAAACGCACCAGTTGCAGGCTGGGGTTTCCAATCTTTCAAGAGCTGCTATTGAAAGGGTTTCAAGAGCCACTCTGACAGCTCTTGAAAGCCCCAAGTTTCAAAAGGCTGTGTGGCCGTGCAACAACTCTTGAAAATGAGTTTTCAAGAGTGGTGTGGCGAGGCCCTTAGCCACACAACACCTGGCCTTGCCACACCACTGTCGAGAACACGATTTTCGATAATTTCTCGTCGCCACACAGCCTGTCGAAATTGGAGACGGTCATAGACCCCGCTAATACCGATCAGGGGTATCCAGAGGACTATCACAGTCCGTTGGCACTAAGTGCGCCGCAGGCGGCCATGGGGCTTGAACCCACAACCTCCTGAATGCCACTTGCATGCCTAACCAACTGAGCTTGTGTGGGAGAGCGTTGGCCATAGCCTCTGCTGCTA